ACCTATAAGAAACATGTTTCGAGTCGTTCAGGTTACTTTATCTTGAAATTCAAATTTTCAGCACGAAATTGTTTGTGTGAATCTCAAAAACTAAGAAATTTCTAGAATTCAAAATCGAGCCACCGAAGCTAAATGACTTATACACCATTCGATGCAGTTTTTCACACTGATTCCGAATATGACCTTACTTTCAAGAAAAAGTACTTTTTGAGGAAGAAAACTGCGAAATACTTGAAAATCTCAAGGGTTTTTGGAAAGCCTGTAACTCAGCACCTCTAGAGTTGAGAGACTTTGTGAGATCAGTTTATGTAGAGGAGGTTGAGACGAACATTTTGAGCTATTTTTCATATCAATAGCTGCTCAGCGGAGTTTAGCGATTGTATTTTTATGAGGACGTCTTTTTTTTAGATGAGTTCCGTGGAAAGATCTTCGCGCGTTCCCCGGAATTTAACTTTGTCCGACGAAAATTTTCTTACGGCTAGATAGCCCAACAGACGGCGATTCTATAGATGATCGCCGTTTGACGAGCAACAAAAATATGTTTTGCTTTTCTAAAAATTCCTTTCCTGTGTTGAGATACGGTACCCACAATAGGAGAGGTTCAAAATCACTCAAGTGAGTTTAGACTCAAACAGGTGAAAACATATGAGTTTGACTCAAGTGTTTTTCTCTGTCAAAACTTTGTCTAAACTAAAAAAGAAGGACATATTCGTGATCAGCGTCAAATAGCGATTCTAGGGATGTATGTTTAAGCTAAAAACAAGAACTGCTGAAACTCTGAATTACCCGCGCCTTACAATAGAGTTAAAGTGTAAGAGAACTGATCAACAAGAAAAGCTAATATATCATTAACAAGGTGAGCCGAACTTCTATTTTTTTGAACTGTGAAGTTGAATATCATGTGTAGTTTCAGATAATATTTATTATACTAATTATAGTTCATTGGATTTATTCTAAATAATGGGTAATAAACCTACTTCAATGTACTTCTACGTGCTTGAATACAACAATACGCTGCAACAAACATCGGGCATTACTCTCTCATTAGAAGAGTTGTTTGTTATTTGTAATAAGCTGCGGGCAAATTTACTCCAGTCCAAGCCTTTTCGTACACGGTCGAGATTATGGACAGCACATTACAAAAGTTTATCGTCTCCTCCTCTGCATTCATCAGTAAGGACTATTAGCAGTTGGTTGAAAGATATGTATGGAGACCCATCGTGGTCACTGACTGATAGTGACTCTTAGCCAAGAATGAAGACAATTTGCGATTGATTCCAAATGCGTAACATCATCCGACATAAATGTTGAATAATTTTTTGTGATTTTTTTGTTATTTACTCATTTTTCTTCACAATGTTTTTTGTCTTACCTAGTGTGAGTTTATTAAAAGCTTTCTAGTGTATTTTTTTGAAATTCATTACGATAATATACAATATGTTTTCACCTGTTTGACATCTCTCACCATATCTGACTTTAGGTTGGTCGAATGGGCAGAAATCGTACTGTTTTTCTATCTCTAACCAAGCACAAAAACCATCTTTTTAACTAACTTTTAATTACATGGTTGGATAGAGGATGCCGAGTTGTCTTCACAACCACCCATATTTTTTTCTGTCTTAGCTTTGGTGGAGTACGGAATGGCTGGGAGATATTCGTAAAACATACAACCATCCACAACCACTCAAAATTTATTCACACACACACACACACACCATTGCACACAAATCGCGACCACTATTAGTTCGCTATGCTGCAGCGACTCGCGTGGCGATTAACCTACTCTTCTTCCATGATCTTTTCACGAAATTGAAAAGAATTTTTCTTGTGCATTTTCTTTTTCAAGGCATTGGCTTTTAAATCAATTCACATTTTCACCACCATAAGATATTTTCGAAGCAATACGAATGTGGCATTCATAATCATGAGGAAAAACTGCATTTATAAATGTATTACTGGAAATTCTATGAGAAACACATTTTCATTTTCCAGTCTTTTTTATTTGTTGTTTCTCAGAACATAGAATGGTTAAGGAGTACTGTACATGTGCTAAAACTGATTTTAACTGTTTCTTCTTCTTCTATTGTTTGTTTACAAGAAAGATTTTTAACATCAAGTATGGAGGATACCGAACTGTCTATAGGTGGAAATTCTTTGCTAGTTTCAGACCATGTAAAAGCCAGTAGCTCTAACCAAAGAGCGATTGCAGCTTTATATATTTCTAATTCTATTTCCTTTTCATTTGTTGTACCTTGTTCCGCTGTAGAATGTTTTCTGATTCGTTTTGTTTTACAATCTCATTTTGATTACCTTTGCTGTTATTATAGAAAAGCGTCAGTTACTGATGAATACTACGATAGAATAACAACTTTTTTGTTAAAAATGTAGCTGACTAAAGTGTATTTCTGATTAGAAGTGTCACTTTACTCTTCTTTATCAAGTGATAAGTAATAAAACTTCTTAGTTATTATTAGAAAACAAGTGATAAATTTTATTACCTTATTGCTTATCACTTTTTTCAAGTAACAATCTTTTATTACTTTACATGTTACTAATAAGAAGAAAAGCAATAAAAAATGATTACTTGAAAACAGTAATAACAAATAAAACAACAAGATCTATTACCTTCTTACCGGTAATAAATAACAAACGCTTATTAGTCTTACCGGGTAATGTAATAAATAGTAAAAGTAAAGTAGCATCCCTATTCCTGACTTCTGCTCGGGATTTTAATTCCACGTTGACGTTTCCTCTGCTACCTTTTTCACTCTTCTGACCATTAGAAAGTATTTTTTTCGATTCAGCATTAAAAATTGAGTATGAGAATGATGCTTGATTGAGGTGGAAATCAAATGTCTATCCAATGTGGACATCCGACTTGGACATCCACTGTAAAAAATTCCTAAACAATTTTACAAGCCTATCTAGTCTTTTGTGTGAAGAGATGAGGCCGACCTTTTTATTTCATTAGAACCACCATAAAAAAAATGAGTTCTAAAAGTACGTTCTGCATTTTTCGAAATTTTTCTCCATTGCTGAGAAATTCCATCTTTTCTAAATCAGAAGCGAAAAAATCGGAATTGCGCGTAATGCTCAATTTCTCCACCAGAACTCACTTTTTATGCAATAGAAATATCACATTCGTAGTCAGCGTCGAAAATCAACGGGATGGGTCGGGATTATTTGGTCACGAACACAACAATCTCTGTTGATCAGAAGAAAAAGTAAAAATCTGTGTAGAATCAACGGCAAACTTTCTCATACTTGATTTTACTAGAAGGGTTACGAGAAAAAATACTTGTTGGTGGTACATGTATGAACTGTGCAGTGAAATATTGTAAATAATAGGCAGTATCATTCAGGGTTTTTTTTGTAGAAAATAATAGTCAAACTAGATTATCAGGAGTATCCTTTGAAAAACATTTCTGAAGCTGAATAAAAACTCTGTAGCAAAGAAAATAAATAAAAGAGCTTCTTGAAGAACGATGGAAGAACGTGTAGTTGAAGTGTGATGTTAATATAAAACGTCCTTGGTACAAATATCTTATTCAATACTGCATGTTAATTTTAAAAGCATAATTTCATTTTCTGGTTGTTCGTATTCAAGAATGACTTGTTCCTTTTTTAAGCATGTACATATCAGTGCCATACGATATTTCGTTGAATGTTTTTCATAAAAATCTTTCAAATATTTCAATATTTCTTTTTGATCTATATGTGTTTTTCCCGCTATGAATGTTGATTCAATTACTTCGAATACTTCGTTTGTATTACATTTAATTTCAATTTCCTTAAATGCATTCATATGATTTTTGGTAGCGACATAGTTTGGTATTCCATGACAGATCAAATCATGCCAAAATGTTTCCTTAGCCAGAAAGTCTATTGTGTTGTTTGATGGTGTCCATATACTATCCATTTTAATTACGTGCGCGTGTTCATTTAACAAAGATTCTAACAACTCAATAATATCTTTACCAGTTAATTGAACATCTAATATCATGATGGCTATATGTGATAATTAAATAGTAATAAAGAACGAGCTGAAGATAATTGCTTTATAAGAGTTACTGCCGACAGATTGGTCCACGATCTGACACACAAATATCTTAAATTCGAAATGTCGTTTTACACTTGTATTTTTCACCTAAAACTATTATCGATCGCAAAATACAAGACCCGTGGGCATTTTTTGAATAACTTTTGATAGGAATGAGACAGAGACCTGCGATTTTCGCTGTTCAATAGCCAAGACTTGAGCAGAACTTTTCACAAGCGGGAATCTTAAAATGCCATGGACTATAGGTAATCGACTACGCTGAGCATAGTAGGACCAATTTTTTGGGAAACGCACACAAATTAGAGGCAGTAAAAAGTGTTTTGAAATTACAGCATATTACAGATCAGACTCGTCATCTGTTGTAAAACAAAAATCCATCAACTACTACAATTACTATTCTAATAAACTATTTCGTTCTGAGGAAAACTTTCGTGCTCGGTCTCTAACTGGCGAACATTATCATTCGTTCTTTCGGGTGCGAATGACCTTAGATTAAGTTAGAATGATATTTTTGCTGAAGAAGAATGGCTTAAAGCTGGAGGTGTCACTTTACTCTTCTTTATCAAGTGATAAGTAATAAAACTTCTTAGTTATGATTAGGAAATAAGTGATAAATTTTATTACCTTATTGCTTATCACTTTTTTCAAGTAACAATCTTTTATTACTTTACATGTTACTAATAAGAAGAAAAGCAATAAAAAATGATTACTTGAAAACAGTAATAACAAATAAAACAACAAGATCTATTACCTTCTTACCGGTAATAAATAACAAACGCTTATTAGTTTTACCGGATAATGTAATAAATAGTAAAACTAAAGTAGTACCTCTACTTAAATTTTCCAAAGCTAAATTTTTTGCAGAAACTTATCATAAAATAGCCGCCCTCGTAAAATTTTATCAGGCAATAATTATCGTTTCTTTTGATATCTACTTTTGCCTCCAAAAGCCAACGAACAAGACGAATTTAGCAATACTTTTATCTAGAGAGCTATCCATTAAGCCGAACAAAATGACGCAAACATCAACTTTCTAGCTCTTATCGTTTTTGAGAAATGTGTAACAGGCACTGGAAACATGTCAGTCCGTTACGATGCAGTGACTCGTCTACGAAGAGAACTTAACTATTTCTCCAGCCGTTCACTACACGGGTTAAGAAAACCTAACCCGAACCCGACCCGACCCGATGAAAACAATCT